AAACAGACCAGTTACGAATTAAATGCTCTTATAATTTTCCCAGTAAATAAAATCTCTCCAATTGGACAATACGCTGGCATACCAGGCAAACCAAAAACAGGTTTACGAAAGAAAAACTACTGCTTAAGTCATGTATTGTTTTAAGACTAAGTCAAGAATAATTAAGTGTTGTAATGAGAAAGTAAATGTTTGGAGCATTTTTTCAAAAATCACAGTTGGGCTAGCTTCAAAGATCTGGTTAGCAAAACCTTAGCGAAGATGAATGTAGAATTTTATTTATCCAGTAATTACATGCTCATTAAATGCTATCGAAACAGACCAGTTACGAATTAAATGCTCTTATAATTTTCCCAGTAAATAAAATCTCTCCAATTGGACAATACGCTGGCATACCAGGCAAACCAAAAACAGGTTTACGAAAGAAAAGCTACTGCCTAAGTCATGTATTGTTTTAAGACTAAGTCAAGAATAATTAAGTGTTATAATGAGAAAGTAAATGTTTGAAGCATTTTTTCAAAAATCACCGTTGGGTTAGCTTAAAAGATCTGGTTAGAATAACATGAGCGAAGATAAATGTAGAATTTATTTTATGCATTAATTAAATGATCATTAAATGCTATCGAAACAGACCAGCTACTAATTAAATGCTCTTATAATTTTCCCAATTAATAGAACCTGTCCAATTGGACAATACGCTGGCATACCAGGCAAACCAAAAACAGGTATACGAAAGAAAAGCTACTGCTTAAGTCATGTATTGTTTTAAGGCTTAGTCAATAATAATTAAGTGTTATAATGAGGAAGTAAATGTTTGAAGCATTTTTTCAAAAATCACNATTTTACCAAATACTCTATGGAAGTTAAAAATGAATTATGATACCTACTTTTCAGTATTTTACTATACAAAATCACATTACAAACTACTTACCCATTGTTATTATCATTATTATATGGTATATAATACCGCAATTGTGGTAAGCACTAAAACATTTGCTGACGTGTGTTAATCAATGATCATAAAGACGAAAGAATCATTGAAATCAAATCTGTAACTGTACAAAAAGGTTTTGGCAATACAGCTGGGTAGCTAATAATGCAACGATTAACTCAACCGTCGGTAGAGTGATGAAGTATTTTAATTTAGAAACTAATTAATGGGAATAGTATCATCATGTGAGGAGAGACTCATCACAAACGCATTTTTAAAGAATATATACGTGTTTCGTTCATATTCGGGGAGACTCAGTAGATGACTAACACAGATTCGCCCCTAATTACCACAAACACTTTTTGAAGGATACACGAGAGCTTCGCCCACATTTATTGTGGGCATTACCGACTTAATACTTAATAGGTAATTAATAGAGACTCACTCCTTATGACTATAAACACTTTTTCGAAAAATGTATACATTTTTCGCTCACATTGATTGTGAGCATTATCAACGCAAGAATCATTAAATAACTAAAGAGACTCGCCTCTAATCGTTACACACACTTTTTTGAAATATGATATTATCAACGCGAGACTATACGCAATAGTGATAATCATGTAGGTTAGGCTCAGTAGATGACTAATACAGATTCGCCCCTAACTACTCTTTTGTGTGCATTATCAACGCAAAGCACAGTAGATAATTAATAGAGACTAGTCCCTTATGACCACAAACACTTTTTGAACAATGTACACATGTTTCGCTCACGTTACTTG